TATCATGCATCATCATGTATCATGCATTTATCATCATGTATCTTTATGTATCATCATCATCATGTATCATCATCATGTGTTTATTCATTATTACCATCTTTATCATTTACCATTATCGACGTCGCTATTGATGACGATGATGATAATAATAATAATAATAATAAATTATCGTTAACCTATTTTAAAATTGAGGAATGGAAGTTTTCCTATTTCCTACCACGTCATTCCCTCGAGTGTCATTTCTTTGTTTAATGGATACGACTCAAACAATTAATAAACTTATTCTCAAGGGAATGACACATGGTATGAAATCTTTAAAATTCTACACCAAGCTTATAGAAGTGTATTGGTATCACGTGCGGGTTAAGTTTATCACATATTTCTATTTCTCTCTTCTTTTTCACAGTTCTGGGCCATTTGCATGGCGCGACAGTAAGAGACCCAAGGATATCTTGAAAGATTTCTGTCGAGCCAAAGGATACAAGTATTGGTTTTATCCAAAAGGAAAGTCGCCTACGGAACTCGTGGTGGAAACGGACAGCTTTCCTATGTCGCCTGATGATTGTATTGGTACGATAAGCTATACTAGTACTATTAACCCAAAAAATCGATGATTCCATCCAGCTATTCGTTCATCAATCCCTCCATTCCAATTATCCTTCCGTCCTTTCATCCATTCCCTCATTCATTTATTTCTTGATTTATCCATCAATCCAACCATGCATGCCTTTTTTATTCAATCATTTATCCATTCATCATCCCATTCATCTACTTATTCCGTCTATTCTTACTTATCTCATTTATTCATCCATCTATCTTATCCCAACATCCCCCTAACAATCGTGTCGAGGTCGTTCGTCCGTTTTTCTTCTACTTTTTCATTTTTCATTTATCTTTAATTTCTCTTCCTAATTCGTCATGATTTGACTAAATGATACAGAGATTTTTTATCGAAGGCTAATAAACATCAATTTATTGTTTTGTTTTTAACGATAATATTTATTTTGCAGAGGGGTCTGAATACCCAGACCAACAACTATCGCTTCTTGCTCTTCATCACCTGGGATTGGTTCCTGAACATGTTGAAACACGATCCCTCTACAGCTCTTTACAACCAAAGATTGAACAGGTAGAGAAAAATAGTCTATGTAAGACATGTAATGTACTGATATTACTGATATATATCGAGCAATCAGATCGAGCGCGCGTAGCCAGGTGACTTTATTATGATAACTGCGTTCGTCGGACCAATCAGAGCGCGCTTAGCGAGGATGACTATATAAAAATTCAGCACACTTCTCGGCCAATAAGAACGCGCGTAACAAGGATCTGTTAATTAGCGTCTTTTGTGTAWTTTTTTTACAGGGAAAAGTTCAGATGTGGGTTGATATATTTCCATTGACAGAAGATGCAGACATCAAACCAGCTGTTAGAATTGAACCTAGGGAACCATTATCGTAAGCAGTTGAATAAATATATGGACGGACGGACGGACGGACGGACGGACGGACGGACGGACGGATGGACGGATGGACGGATGGATGACTTGCTTCCAAAATTGCTCACCTCTTATAGAATGTTTTATCCTTTATTCAGTTATGTTTTGCGACTGGTGATCTGGGATACGACAGATGTCCTTCTTCAAGAGACCTCCATTGCTGGTGAAAAAATGAGCGACATCTACGTTAAAGGGTACGTCACGTACTAAAGAAGTTTCAGTGTTCCAATCCATTACCTGCACGAGGACATGTAGCCTGGACACGAACATGAAAGTCTTTTTTTCCATTCAGTGACTACACGTATACAAATACAAATTGAGATATTGTTCTCTCTGTGAGGGCTTTAGCCTCCGTTGCAGACGTCCTGCGGGCTTCGGTTCGGATCCGAACYAAACCCCGCAGGACGTCTGCAACGGAGGCTATGAGGGCTTAAGAGTCGTTTAAATTCATATTGATTTTCATTTTTTTCGACTGTAGTTGGATTGATGGAATGGATGATAAACAAAAGACAGACGTTCACTATAGGTAACATCTTATGAAACTAATGCAGTATTTTTTATTTTTTATTTCTCATAATTCTTTCTCATTTCAATATTTTTCAGCATTCAGGGACGTGGGAGCGTAATTTTAAGCACATGAAAGCCATATAATTTTGAATATTTCGATATACGAAAAGAATAGACCTCTTGTCCTTGGGCGTGGTATTTTCCCATTTCAGACCACGTGTCATTCTCTTGAGAATAAGATTCTTTGTTTGAGTTTAATCCATATCCATGTATCTTCGCATGCGCAACAGGTCAAACAAAGAAATGATACTCTAGGGAATGACACGGGGCCTTAAATGGTAAAAAAAAATATGTCAAATAAAATAATTGATTTTTGATGGATCTTGGTACTTTCGTTACCAGGTCACTTGACGGAGAAGGAAACTTCAACTGGAGGATGGTTTTTCCATTCCACTTTTTACACATGGAAAAGAAAATATCGATTTCCAAAAAGGTGCCTTGTAATTTATAACTAGTATTCACTTTGTTTTTCTCATGTAACAAGTTATTAGTAATTCCCATATCCTTGGAGTGCAACAACATGACTCGAAATCCCTTGAGATATGAATAACAATGAAACAGCCGCCATACATACATACATACATAAACTTTATTTAACCTCGAATTTCAGAGTAGCTTACAAAGCTAATATCTTCGAGAAAAAAGAAAAAAAAAAAGGGAAAA